GGGGCCTTGCCCGATACAGCAGCGCGGAAGGGCCAATCCGAGCCAGGCTTCGCGCGGAAGTTTCGCAAGACACCGCCTCAAGCGAGCGGGGAGGGCGAGCTCCCGGTGCCGCCCCGGGAAGCAGCCGATCGGGGGTACGGCTGCGTGCCGGTACAGGACTCCCTGCGCGCGCCGCAGCCACCTGCGAGGAAAACTGGGCGCTCGCGCCTTGCACGCACGCGTGTTCTCAGCAAACCCACGCAGCTTAAGTCAGAGACTTTAAAACAGCAGCAAAAGGGCTGCTGTGGGTTGTTTGTGGCCCTGGGTCAGAAATACACCAATCACCCCAAAATAGCTCGAAGCCTTATGGACAAAAGCTTCAAGTAGCAGCAGCATCCAAAGGCTAGCGAAGGTGAAAGCCACAGCCCTGGGGATTCAAACGCTGCCCCAGGCAGTGACATGCTGCGGGTAAGGAGGACACCAGCGGCAGCACCTGGAAGGCAGCAGTGCTGACCCGCACCCACACCAGCCCTCACAGCAGAGAGCGATGGAGCCACCAACAGAGGAGGCCGTGGCAGCAGGGCATGCTTGGTTCCCCTTCCTTCGTTCTCTCTGATCAAAGGCTTTGAAATGAGTTCCAGTTCACTTTAATTAGCCTTATTAGTCATATCAGAGGATATTTATGCAATTTATGCAATTGCCATTTCTTTAAACAGTTGCAGTTGTCCCAAATGACCACACCTACATCAGTTATTCTTAAAAATGAAATTGTCTCCAACCTCCAGTTCTGATTGATCTGTTCCATCTTGGGGAAAAATCTCTCACCTCTTGAGAAAACCTGGCTTTTTGGTCAATCAGTCTTCCAAAGTTAGGCAAAATCTCACTTACTGCAAAACTACTAATACACTGAGACTAAGGATGCATTTCTGGATGCTGTTACTTCCCAGCCTGTGTGATCCCTTTTTAGAACCAAAGTTCTACACAAGAATGAACAATTCATTCCGTTTCAGTGAGTGACACAGTAATAATTTTGGTCCCTTTAACTACAGTACATTTCCTCCATAAAAACAAATCCACATGTTATTTTCCTGTAAGAATAAAGATGGCAAAAGAGTTCAGGCATTATAACTGGCCTACTTAAAAGCTATGCAATTATAAAACAGAAAACTTAACAGCATTGTATGGTCAGACCTACCTCAACATAATTCCTGTCATTAAAGGGTGGCAGTTCCATAGGCGTGTGCGTTAAGGGAACAAAAAATTAGTAGAAAATAAAGGCATGGACAAAAATTATTCTGGCAATGGAAAAAAATGCCTAACACTGACCTAAAAAAAGCCACTATCAATTTGGCATAACATACCAAAAAAAAGCAACCCCCAAGCCCCACAGTATTATCTGTGAATAACCAATGTAAATTTATTACAATGAATCAAAAGGCCAGATTCTACTGTGTTAAAAAAAAATGAAACAGGGATATAATACTAAATGGTATCAACCAATTATTAGGCAGCTGCTGAGTTTAACCAGTGATGGGGAAGCAATTAAGTGATCCAGTGTAATGCATTAAGGTTTAAATCGACATACAAAACTATACATCATTCCTGAGGAGACAAACTCAGACATAATTATTTGAAAATAGTGTCTGTGGCTAAATTTCTCTCTCCAAAGAAAGAAACTTGACTATGAATGCATCTCTAAGACTTAACGCATACTGCTTTTCATCACCCCTAGAAAAAAGTTTTGCACAGAGCTGAATTCATCAGTGCATGCTCTTTAATGAACTTGAGAAAGTCACAGTTCAAGTGGCACCATGCTTACTAGTTACAAAACATTTATGAAACATCTATTCTTTACAGTCTCAATTACAAGATATTCTACTATTTTAGTGAAACATCAGATGTAATTACAGTGCATTATATACAGAGTACAGAAATATTTTTGTAGGAAAAAATAAATAGGAAAAAATATGTAAACATCCTGAGTGAAATTCTGCTGCCACTGAAGTCAGTTGCAGAACCATCATAGATATGAGCACAGGCAGTATTTCACCCCTCTTTTTAAAGCATATAGCAGTGCACATAATTTCATTCAAAACAGTTTAAAGTGCATACAACATGAAAAAAAAATTCATTAAGCTTTTGAAAATTTTACATATGCAGATTTCATTCATATCTATTACGTCTCCTCAATCCCATCTCTTCTGATTCATTTTTGGTTATAATTTCTTGGTCTTCTACCACATCTGGCTCAAACTGATGTGCTTCACATTCATCATATAATACATGCTCTTCTATTTTGTAATCGTTATCAACATCCTCAAGCAAATCTTCATTACTGTCATCTTCTCTGTCATCTATTTCTCTCTCTTGAGAATGTTCAGCAAATGACTGAATGAGATCTTCAAGTTTCTCATTACACATGTGGCTCCCATCTTATAATTCACCAAAAAAAAAAAAAAAATCAAAATGAAAGTTTAAATTACTAGAAAGGCTCCAAATTTCAGGGTCAGTTTAGAAGTAGAATATTTATTTTTTTATTTGTTTTCTCTCTTGTATTATGGCTGAAGTAATGCAAAAATTCCCCGAATTTCTAGTTTCTTAGTATTTAGGATTTCTCTTGGACAACTATGCAGCTCTTTAAAGTCTCCAGCTGAAACTAATATACAATTTGCTGTTTAGTGCAATTATGCATGCATTACCCATGGCCTCAGAGGTCCCCATCTGTGAATTCTCAGACTAAAGTTAGTCCAATACTAACAGACTGCTCAGGAACTCACATTCAAGAAGCCTCTTTAAACAAAGTAGAAGGGGACTATGTGTCCATACCACTAAGTGTGGCCTATCCTAGTTCAATGTCTTTTAGCATCCGTTCTTAAAAAAACATGGTGTATCAAAAATTTGAAATCAGATACACCTCAAACAGGAAGAATGGTACTCCTCCAGAACAAAATTAATTCCACACACATTACCTAAGGTGCAGGTGCTGAACATTATTATAGTAAGATCTGTTTATTCTTTTAAAATATAAACTACTTAGTTATCTACCCTGCTGGAAATCAAAGTACCTCTCAACTTGCTTTCCGATTTATCCAATCCACTTTCTTTCATCAGTCGTCTAATTGATTGGAGCTGTGTCATTATTTCATCTTTCTGCTCACAAGCTAAAGCATTAACACTAGAAAAAAAAAGACAGATGTCAACAGCTTAAAGATTACCTTGGAAGTGAGTGCTTGATAATAATGCACAAGATTGCAGTATTTCCTTCCATGGATAAATACCATCGTTAAGTTAGCAACATGTTTAGGCCAAGCTTTTCTTTAAGAACTGTCTCTTGAGAAGTGGGGAGCCCATCACATACATCTATTGAATGATCTAGTCACTGTATTATCGGAGCCCCAATGGCCAAGGTTGAGTAACAACTACTGAAATAAACAATTACCCAAAGTAATTTTATTTTTAGTACAACAATGCCTAACACAGAACTTTACAGTTTAGAGGCTTTTCTCATTTATTTCAGCTTTTGTTTACTCTCTCTCCTCCCCATCACTACTGGAAATGTTAGGCAAATTATTAAGTTCAGAAGCACACTAAAGGAACAATCATGAAATTCTGCATGTTTTAAACTAGGCTTCATCAAGTATGTCAAGTCTACACAAAATAGACTGCATAGATGTCTTCATTTGCAGTAGGTGGGTAAGGTCCTAACTTCTTAAGAATATCTCTAAAACTACACAGAGGTTATATTACTTATTCCCTTGTTATACTACAACAGAGAAGTTTTATTTCCCCCAAAAACACACAGTCACCTAACAGGTTCATTTCAAAACACAAAGATAAGTGCTATACCTTGATAACTAGTTTTGTCTTCTAATTATATCAAAAGGAAGAAACTCTTTCTGCTACCAGAAATTTAATTCCCACAAATGCTTTCAAATGCTACTGAGCCTAAGCATTTTTTCAGTATTAGTCTCCTCAGTCAATACTGAAGCTTAACTTGTTAAGCCACAGTAACACGATCGTAAGCCTGAGCTTTTGCATTTAGGTTTGGTGAACAAGAGATGGGAGGTGTCTGTGGAAAAGATCGCAAATTGCAGAAGAGGTATTACCTGCAAAAGGCTACAGAAACAGTAAGTAATTAAAGAGGGTTCCTAAATATTGTTCCCTACCTATATATAGGGAACATTTTAAGAACTCTTTATTAACATTTTGGAGAATTTCAATTTACAGAAAACAATACTAACTGAGATGTTTTAGAAACACTCACCAGTTTGACAGTGGATCCAACTGAGTCAATAAAGAATTCAACATTTTCTCTGTCTGTGCTAAATGCTGCTCCAGTTCTAAAAGCTGATGCTCTAACAAAAAACAAAAGCAAAAAGAAAAGAGGGAGGCAGAGGGAGGAGGAGAGAGGGGGAGAAGGGGAGGGCAGGAGAAAAATAATATTGTAAGAAATGCATTTACAATACCAAAAGAATATTAAGCTATACTTTTGGTTGGGCAGATTCAAAAGCAAGCAGGTTTTTTTCCTCTATAAAATTCTAGAATACGAAAAGGAAGTGGTCAGGGTAAGAACAGAAGCCTTATTATATATGACCAGAAGTCCTCCACATCCAGTAACCTGTCTCTACTAGTGCCCAAACAGAGGACACGTTGGCAGAAACTGAGTGAGAATGTGGCGCTCGCCTTTCCAGCCTCAAAAACTATGCAGTTCCAAGACTTCCTGAAGTAGTGTATTTATACTTAATATACTGTCATGAATTTGCCCACTCACACCTCACAAATATGTTCAACACAAATGCACTACAATTGAGAAAAGTAACTCCTCCTAAAATACTATTAAACTTTGAAGAAAGAAAAATGCAACGTGCAAGGATGGTGAGTAGGCAGCGTAGCAAATCATTGCTGAACCCAATTACAGATATGGTGTACGGGGACACCAAAAGCATCTGCTAGTTTAACTAAAAATGTGTCTATACAAGGGGCAAAAAAATTATGAAAACAGCTCAACTTTGATGTGCCATAACTTTTTCTCCAAAGGAAAGCCCACTTCTTGGCACGTGCAGAATAGACTGAATCAGTCAGCCAAGAGTACTCTGCATCATGAAGAAAAATATGGTATCATTTATTCTGTCTCTTCTATAAACACTTAATGTTTTTGATAGGTCTCTAATTTGGCCTAGAAATTCAACAGTCTCTACAATTGTTCATCCATACTGTTCCATTATCAATACAATTCAATTCTAAAGCAGATCATTATGTCCTTTTAAAATATCCTATTAATTCTCAAGATTATTATATCCTATTTAAACATCCTATCCTACTGGAGAAAACTGAGCTGGTCTTCAGTGAGAAAAATATCAGACATTGAAAGGTAGAGAATCATACTACATTACTATTGCTGTTTTAAAGAATATTACCATCTGGAGTTTTCAAACAAAACTCTTAACAAGTGTTTCAAATATATAGAATAACAAGGTGGGTTTTTGTAGGTTCCTAACTGCACTTAAGTAACTTAAAAGATTGTTCTCCTTTAGCTAGACTGCATCAATGAAAATAGGTAGCTTTGTTACAGCAGGAAATACGCATTTTTGGTGAACACACACATTCTGAATGGGTATCTTACCCGTTTCCTTTGCCTTGTCTTCTGTACTTTTTTCCTTTTTGGAGAGACTTTCTTCATGTGACTTTATCTTTAATAAATACAAGCACATTAAAACATTTAATCACTATTTATATATTAAAAATAAAACTGCATTTATAAATTTAATGGAAGTAAACACCAACCACAAAAAACATGCTCCATTAATGAAGCTTTTTTTCTGCAATGCCTTCTTCCTATCTTAAACTAACACTTCTGATTTTAAGCAACGACAACATGACTGACAAAAGTTGTAGAAGAAAGCAGTTGCTATTTCAACTCTAGTTTTCAAAAATGAACAGAAGAAACCTTCCAGGTTACTGGATCCAGTCTCCTACCATTAACTAGGAGGTAAAACTTCTTAAAGTAATAAAGATGCTATTACAAAAATATTTACATTTCAATCCCACACGTGCAAGTGTAAAGAGTTGTAACACCCAAAATATTGTTCTTAGGATGTTTAAATCTTATTTACAACCTAATTAAATTTCTTTTTAAGAGCAAACTGGTCAGCCTCCATGTTCATCTTGCTAAGCTGGTTTATCTTCTTACATAGGAGATTATATAAAACTGACTACGGAAATGAAGATGCTGTCTCCAGTCCTGTTCAGGTTTAAGTTGTTTTTTCCCCGAAGGCATGCAACAATATTCCAGGTGCATTCTCAGCACTGCAAGTGCTGTAGTATCTCTTACTATAAATAATACATATCAAGACAGATATTTAAAAAAGAAAAAAAAAATCTGATCATGTGTTCTCCTTTCTTAATTTACTAATGGTAGAAAAGGTATCACATTTCATGGATAAAAGTCTATGTTGCAGCTGCATGACCAAATGAGAAGTCCTAATAAAAGGTCTAGACTACTCGCTATTCCACCCAAATGCTAACCTAAGACTACTACTCTGCAGGAATTGTCCATCTCCTTCCCTCTGAACGATGGAAAGAAAGCGAAATACTGATGAGGCTTATGTTACAGCCTTAGGTAGCAGCACTGTTTAGGTTCTCAGATTCTTATTTGAGGTCAGGGCATGGTAACAGTCCCACTTCTTTAAGTGTCTAAAAACAGGTAAGTCAGAAGCCTTCCTAAGGAAGAATCAGATATACTGTAATTTTAACTTTGGAGCTCACATTCAAAGTCAAACCGAGCAAGAAATGGCTTTTGGACAACTGTATTCATGGGCTCAGAATTGGGGGATAGGGGTAAAACAACAGTTACATTTCCTTCTAATTTCAGTAATTTAATGCTTTTCTTATGTCTTACCTTAAGAAATTTGTATGCTGCAAACACTCCTACTCCAAGAGCATACAACGGCATGAGGGTGAATGCTAAATCTCTACCATTTCCTCTTGTTCTCTCACGCTTTATCTCTTTTTCCATTGCACTTCTCATCTGCTGAATGCTCTGATAGGTATTACTGTCAGAACTTCCTGGATTCAGGTGAGCCTGACGAACTGTCTGAGGACTACCTTAAAAAATTAAATTGAGAAAAAGAAGACAAAATAAGAAAAGAAATTAAAAGTGCAATTAGTTTCAAAACTGGAACTAAACTGTTTTCTGCTTGTGTGACCATCTTTGTTCATCACTCTTCTAAGATAGTGTGATCAGCCCTGCATCCAAATAAAAAAAAAAAAAAAAACACCACAAAAAAAAAAATCACTGTTTCATGAACAGGATTCAAAGTTAAATCTAGGTAGTAAAGACTCTCAAATTAAGTTTCTATGTTTCTTTAAGATAGAAGTTTTAAGTGTCTTCCTTCACAGCAACGTTGGCAAACCTACGGGAAACCACAGAAAGGTAGGCGTAACAAAAAACAACTTAAATCTTGAAATGAAAGCATACTCAGAGAAACTATTGATAATGCTGAGAACAGTTACAAATTAATATTTTTCCTCTGAAACAAAGGAGTTAAGTAGAAACGGAATTGTCTAGTCCCAGGGGGAAAAAAAGTTTTGTTGAAATACCCATGCTGTGTTGCTGCTTTCATTATTTTCACAGTAAATTCAGTATTATGTGAATAATCCCACAGGCTTAGAAGTGCTGTACCTCTGCAAATCAAATATTTAGCAGGAAAAATTACGTAACAGCAAAAAGATGCAACCTTGGAAGTCTGAAGCATTTTTGCATCTAATTTGCCTGCCAAAGCAGGAAGCAGATGAAGGAACACCCAGTGTCATTGCTTGACTTAGGAATTAGGTTATTTGGTAGTTAAATCTGGGGTTTGTGGGACATGTACATGAGAAACAGTGAGAAACAGTGCCGTCAGCTAAAGAATGCAGGTGCTTGCAGAGACAGACAGCAGGTGATCTGGGGAGTGCTGAAATTTTACACTGATATGCTTAGACATACTTTCAAATCCCTTCAAACATTTAGTTCATCATAATTGAATTAATCAGAACTGAGTATGTGTAAAACAAGATTCACATTCTAGAAAAACTTGCAAACAGAAGACCACTATGCAACTCACTCCCTGTCAATTAATACTAAAACAGTGGCATTTCAAGAATTTACAGTAACATAACTCGACTGTGCAAGAGACAGCCACAATCAGATAGAAGAAAAAAACATAAGCTACAACTCCCAGTGAAAGAACTGTTTGGCTACAGCTTCTTCCAAATACCAGAGAAAAAAGAATCTAATTCTGCTAACCTAAGCTGGTTCTTTGTGATAAAGAGATCTTGAAAGGTGTTTTACAATTGTCTGTACCAAGTTAGCCAGAAAAGTTTTTCAGACTTCCAGGGATGACCCTGACTGTAGCAACGTTTACTATCAGCTCTGCAGTCAAGTCATGTCAGGCATTACGGCAAATTCTTCCACATATAATTGCTCAGTTTGCAACATGCACACTTGGAAGTAGGCCTTTTATCTGCATGTTTGCTCATTGGAACAGAACTGGACAGTTACACAAAAAAAAATAAACACCCTAGCTGATACAGGCAGAACTCAAGTTACCTTAATCATTTAACGCAAGTTGAGGCAGACATTCTCCTTTCAACACAAGCAGGTTTAGACTTACTAAAACTGCACTAATCTGAAAATCTCATTTTACCTCAAATATAGTGTTCCTCCTTTCAGAACGTTTCCCATTGATTACTAGTTTTAAGTTTGCACCCACTCTTTTTTCCTTACTTTTAGTTTTATTTGTTTTTAATATAAATGAGGAAATTTACTAAAATTAATAGCACAGATTAAAAAATTGCCACAGATCATACAAATAAGAATGTGGTCAACGGGAACAGCATCTTCCTGGCACAGAGGAGGGATGTTGAAGCCTAATGGGGTCCAGTGTCCGGCACCAAGTTTATCCCACTGAAGAAACAGCAAAGCGAGTTACTGGCCAAACAGGAGAAAAAGAAAAGCCCAGGCAGGCGAGAGAACAGCACATCTGCCTGCAATTTATTTTACACAGTGCTGGGCCAATACAACAGTAGAATCAGAAGCATGTGAAGTGTTGTTTTTTTAAAGGTTTGGTTTTAAAAGAATTTGACCTATAGGAAGTGGCAGCTACCATATAAATTAAAAGTAATCAAGGAAAACAGGCCACGCTAGAACTTATGAAGCACAGTGAATTCGACATCAGCTGGGAAGAACATAGTAGCAGCTCAAGCCCCGTTTTTTCTACCTTAGAAAGGTACTCCCGGGAAAAGCACAGACACATAATTTGGAGGATTGCAACAACTATCTCTCTCTTGGTTTACAATGCCTTGGAAGGCATCATCAATGAACCACAGAGTTACCTCAAGAAAGCAGTTTTTTTGTTATTTTGCAAAACGAAAGTGGACGTTTGGACCTTGAGCTAAATCTTCACCTCGTGTACACTGACATAGCTTAACATACATTTATATCACTCAAGCTTTAACAGGGAGTAAGCTCTCTAGACCATTCAGTAGTATCTTGGACCTTCCAATACGCTACCTGACAAATCTCATACAGTTCTGTGCTAATGTTTACTAACACTTGGCTTCCTTACTACAACTCTAACATGCTCAGTGAATTTTTCCCTGACACCTCACAGCTACTCATCTATTAAAGAAACTAACTGTGCCCCTGCAGGCATCATTCGTTAAACTGCCACAGTAAGATACGTTTCCAATAACAGGGTGTTACCTGCATTTAACAGTTATTTTCTTAAGACAACACAGACAAAAAACAAAACCGTAATGAACTAGAAAAGCAGAACATAAAAGAGGGGTGGGAGGCGTGGGGGAAGGTTAAGGCGAGGATGAGGGAGCACAGACGCCAGCTCGGAGCCGCCTGGCTGGGCCTCCCTCTTCACGGGCCGCGTCTA